GACTGGGAGGCATTAGAGAGGGACTGGGAGGGGTTAGAGCTGTACTGGGAGGGGTTAAGGCCTTACTGGGAGGGACTGGGATGGACTGGGAAGAGGTTTGGGCCTTACTGGGCGGGGCTGGGAGGGCTTAGAGCCAAACTGGGAGGCACTGGGAGGGGGTTTGGGCCTTACTGGGGGGAGTGGGAGGGGTTAAGGCCTCACTGGGAGGGACTGGGAAGGGTTAGAGCCAAACTGGGATGGACTGGGAGGCACTGGGAAGGGTTAAGGCCTTACTGGGAGGGACTGGGAGGCATTAGAGAGGGACTGGGAAGGGTTAGAGCCAAACTGGGAGGCACTGGGAGGGATTGGGAAGGGTTAAGGCCTTACTGGGAGGTACTGGGAGGTGTTAGAGATGGACTGGGAGGGGGTTTGGGCCTTACTGGGGGGACTGGGAGGGATTGGGAAGGTTTAGAGGTAAACTGGGAGGCACTGGGAAGGGTTAAGGCCTTACTGGGAAGGGTTGGAGCCAAACTGGGAGGGACTGGGAAGGGGTGGGGGCCTTACTGGGAGGGACTGGGAGGGGTTAAGGCCTTACTGGGAGGGGTTAAGGCCTTACTGGGAGGGACTGGGAAGGGTTAAGCCCTTACTGGGATGGACTGGGAGGCATTAGAGAGGGACTGGGAGGGGTTAGAGCTGTACTGGAAGGGGTTAAGGCCTTACTGGGAGGGACTGGGATGGACTGGGAAGAGGTTTGGGCCTTACTGGGCGGGGCTGGGAGGGCTTAGAGCCAAACTGGGAGGCACTGGGAGGGGGTTTGGGCCTTACTGGGGGGAGTGGGAGGGGTTAAGGCCTCACTGGGAGGGACTGGGAAGGGTTAGAGCCAAACTGGGATGGACTGGGAGGCACTGGGAAGGGTTAAGGCCTTACTGGGAGGGACTGGGAGGCATTAGAGAGGGACTGGGAGGGGTTAGAGCTGTACTGGAAGGGGTTAAGGCCTTACTGGGAGGGACTGGGATGGACTGGGAAGAGGTTTGGGCCTTACTGGGCGGGGCTGGGAGGGCTTAGAGCCAAACTGGGAGGCACTGGGAGGGGGTTTGGGCCTTACTGGGGGGAGTGGGAGGGGTTAAGGCCTCACTGGGAGGGACTGGGAAGGGTTAGAGCCAAACTGGGATGGACTGGGAGGCACTGGGAAGGGTTAAGGCCTTACTGGGAGGGACTGGGAGGCATTAGAGAGGGACTGGGAAGGGTTAGAGCCAAACTGGGAGGCACTGGGAGGGATTGGGAAGGGTTAAGGCCTTACTGGGAGGTACTGGGAGGTGTTAGAGATGGACTGGGAGGGGGTTTGGGCCTTACTGGGGGGACTGGGAGGGATTGGGAAGGTTTAGAGGTAAACTGGGAGGCACTGGGAAGGGTTAAGGCCTTACTGGGAAGGGTTGGAGCCAAACTGGGAGGGACTGAGAGGAAGTCTGGGCCTTACTGGGAGGGACTGGGATGAACTGGAAGGGGTTAAGGCCTTACTGGGAAGGGGTAGAGATGGACTGGTAGGGGGCCAGGGCCTTACTGGGAGGTACTGGGAGGCGTTAGAGAGGGACTGGGAGGGGCTAGAGCCAAACTGGGAGGTACTGGGAAGGACTGGGAAGGGTTAAGGCCTTACTGGGGGGGACTGGGAGGTACTGGGAAGGATTGGGAGGGGGTTTGGGCCTTACTGGGAGGGACTGGGATGGACTGGGAGGCATTAGAGATGGACTGGGAGGGGCTAGAGCCAAACTGGGAGGGACTGGGAAGGACTGGGAGGGGTTAAGGCCTTACTGGGAGGCACTGGGAGGCACTGGGAGGGACTGGGAGGGACTGGGAGGAGGTTTGGGCCTTACTGGGAGGGACTGGGAGGGGTTAGAGCCAAACTGGGAGGGGCTGGGAGGGGGCTAGGGCCTTACTGGGATGGATTGGGAAGGGTTAGAGGTAAACTGGGAGGCATTAGGAGGGGTTTGAGCCAAACTGGGAGGGACTGGGAAGGGTTAGGGCCTTACTGGGAGGAGTTAACTGGTTTTAACTGGTTTTTAATGGGTTGAACTGGTGTTTAGCTGAGTTTTAAGGGGTTTTTAATGGTTTTTAAGGAGTTTTTAACGGGTTTTAAGGGGTTTTAAGTGATTTTAACGGGCTGGGCTGGTGTGTGACTGGTGGTAACTGGTGTGTGACTGGTGTTTAACTGGTTGTGACTGGTCAGAGCAACTGGCACGAGGTGGTGGAGACGTTTGACGAGATGCAGCTGGGGGAGGCGCTGCTGCGCGGGATCTACGCCTACGGCTTCGAGAAACCCTCCGCCATCCAGCAGAGGGCGATCCTGCCCTGCATCAAGGGTACTGACCCACAGCGACCCACAGCTGCCCCATAGCCTGCCCCATAGCCTGCCCCATAGCGACCCACACCCTGCCCCATAGCGACCCATAACCCCCCGTCCCCTGGGGGATCTATGTCTGTGGGTTCCAGAAACCCTCCGCCATCCAGCAGAGGGCGATCCTGCCCTGCATCAAGGGTACTGACCCACAGCGACCCATAGCGACCCACACCCTGCCCCATAGACTGCCCCATAGCGACCCATAACCCCCCATCCCCTGGGGGATCTGTATCTATGGGTTTGAGAAGCTCCCTGTGATACAGCAGAGAGCGATTCTGCCCCATATCAAGGGTACTGCCCCATAGCAACCCACATCCTGCCCCATAGCTGCCCCATAGCAACCCATAACCCTACTCTTCCCCTGGGGGATCTATGGCTATGGGTTCCAGAGAGCCATGCTGCCCCATAGAGACCCACAGCTGCCTCATAGCAGCCCATATCTGCCCCACAGCGACCCACAGCTGCCCCATAGTGACCTGTATCTACCCCACAGCAACCCACATCTGCCCCATAGCTGCCCCATAGCGACCCATAGCCCTCCTGTTCCCCTGGGGGATCTCTGCCCTGCACCTCCCCACGCGTTCCCCTGCCCCACACATCCCCCTGTTGCCC